TTTCGATACGAAAAATGCATATAAATTACAATGGAAAACCGTTTACTGAATAAACTCCAGCATGCGCATCAGTAAAGTGATGTGATTTACTTTGAACAGATGATGTGACAATAAAAATGTGTGTAATTAGACCAGGGGCGTTGCTAGGGTCGAAAGGGATGAGGGGCTTACCCACACCCCCAAAAAAACAAGTTCCAAGTTCTAATGCACCCTGCTAAATAACCTGTTTCTTTAAATTTCTTTAGACAGGGCTTGAAATTGCGACCATTTTGGTTGCATATGCGCCCGAAATTTTATCTATGCGACCTTGAAATATATTTGGGAGCATTTCTGCGAGTGTTTAAAATTGTAGTGTGCGACCAGTTTTTACTGCAAAATGTTCAGCACATGCGCGGATTCGGGAGACATTGACGCAGAATGCATCTCTAAGCTCTTTGTCTGCACTTGAAACGCGAAACGCAGCGCTCGGGAATGGTTTCAAACAGTTGTCATGTCAACTTGCTGCAGTAAACAAATCCAAGTCCGTAATGCTTGCCCCGCCATCGCGCTCTTCTTATTGGCCCACCACTGCTCTAGCACTGAACGCGAATGATTGGTTAATATCAGCTGTCAATCACTCAGCGCCTTCTGGCTTCGGATGACAGAGAGAGCTACTACCGCGAAAAATTGTAAAGCGCTGAAGATGAGAATGAAGATAACATAACATTTGACAGATTTTGTTTTAGAAACCATGGCATCTACAGTTACAAATAATGACACATCTTACTAGTTATACCGTTAACACGTTAATTCAAGCAGTGTGTGCAGGGCCGGTGAGCGTTCAGTGTATGCTTTGGTCACTCAGTTCTGTTATAAAAATCTATTTTCTTGTGATAACGGGATTTTGTTGAGACATATTTTCCTCACGCTTGCATATAACGTTATATATGAATTTTTTTTGCTTGTTAGTTTGATTAGTGTTGATTTCAAATACAACCAATATGTTTGTGTTAAACTTGTAGTAACAGTGCTCATAATTGGTGGGTGCTTCTAAATTTTGGCTGATGCGCCTACATTTTTTAAGTTAGGAGCACCGGTGCTACCAAGCAAAAAGGTTAATTTCGAGCCCTGTTTAGAGATAGTTTTTTTTTTGGGTTTTCCTCAAAATAGAGTGATGTGGGCTTCATGGCACTTTAAATGCATGTAATGCCTTTTTCTTTCATAATGGGCAGAAAGTCTTTGTATAAACATCTGAATAAACATAAAAAGGCTTTAACTGTGTTTTTCCAGCCATCTTAGGTATTTTTATAAGAATTAAGTTGATTTGTAATTCGATGCTAACTGATATAGCATTTTACAGTAGAATATGGCTAATAAATAATAAGCTAGATGCATGAACTGACTGTGATTTAACTACAGAAACAGATGTGACTGGCTTTATCATATCTAGATAAATATGTCTAGATATTAAGTGTTTCCTCTAGGATTTTTTTCAGCTGTGGCGGCAGGCGTTTTTTTTTTTACACAGAACTACCAACTACCTGTGGCGTTATTTCAAATGACAAATGTTGTGAGTGCAGTATTAGAAGTCGAGATCGCGTTTATGTAATAGTCTACAGCATGCGGATCTCTTTGCTTGCGCGCCGATTTCCTCTGCTCGTGCACAAAACTTCTTACACGCCGCTTCAAGAGCACACAGATCTTCTTGCGCGCTCTCAAATAAACGCTGCTGAAACGCTGCAATTTAGTGCGTTTACGTAACGAGTACGTCTCCAACATTTATTAGATTTGCTAGGAATATTTATGAATTTCTCCAATACCCACAGAGCGGTATTAATGTGTCCTGAAGTAAAGTGAAACGGCTATACGTCGTGTTTGCTGGCCTCACGCATTACGCACATGTCTGTCAGTCAGCCAGTGAGTCAGCACATAACCTTGAAGGTTTAAACAAATGACGCACAGCACTACTACGGTTACAGTAAAGTTTGCACGGTTATAATTGACTTACCCTTTAATACGTTTTGGTGCGATTATTACCCGCAATTAAAAAATATATTGTTTTGAACGAAAAGCTGTAAGGTAGCCATGGCGGGATGAATTTTGGAGTGGCGCCCCACCATGGAAAAATTAATGTAGCGGAAACCATGATATCTATATCATATCTAGAAAGCTAGTACAATTTACGTATTTCTGACTATATATTTATATGACACATTTTATTGATTATAGTCATTTTATTTCACCAACACTACACACATTTTATACTGGGAAAACAAATATTAAGCTTCATCAGTTGTTAGAATTATTGAGTTTTACGAAACGGTTGTGTTATTACCTCATCAGCTTCAGCCCCTCAGAATAATGGAAGAATGACGACAGTGCTGTGCCTGGATTTTTTAACACTTGCCGTGTGATAACCATGACAACAATCTCTCTCCCACCTGCCGGTAGAAACAGGTACTGCTGAACAGCTGACCATTTAAATACCCGACACAAACTCTGCGTAATGCGCATGATGTATGTGGTAATTTCAAGTACTTAGATAAAAAGATAAATGTTTTACAACCTATTTTTGATTAGGTGCAACATATTCCAAAAGAGCAGGGGTTTAAGCCCCCAATGCACAAACGTTTTGTAAAGTTTATAAGGAAGTGATGATTTTGTTCTCTTTGACTCACTCGGTGGACTCAACTCACAGAAATAAGTCAAGTTTGGTGATTTGGGGTTACATTCATATGGGGGCATGCGAGAGATCTGCAGAGTGGATGACAACAAGTAATGTTATTGTAAAAAAATTATAATTGAACAATATGAAGGCAAAAGAAAGCAGGTGAAAAACCGTGTGCGATAACAACAAGATCACACACGCACAGTTAACGTTGGACCTATTAAGGTGCTTCTTACAAAAAGACAGATCTGGAGCTCTTAAAAAAAGCAGTAACCGTACGTTCACACCGAAAGCGGCGAGAGCGTTCAAGGTCGCTCTGGCCGCCCTGGTGACAATGCTGACTGCTTTCAGCTCCGGCGGCGAGAGCGTCAAAACTCGCTACATTGATCTCGTATTTAAAGAGTCGTTGCAGCATATCAGTTACATTCCTGCATAACACATGTTTCTAGCGTGAGAATGTTGCGCACTTCTTATCAAATTCATATAACAATGGAAGATCAAGTTGCGTGTGGTGTGGCTTTGCTCTATTTATCCAATATGTGTCCATATGTCTGAAATATCCTGAAGCAGCTAACGTTATACTGTTTTGTACAGTCACGTCGCGTGAGATTCCCGCTTTTTTAAGATAAATATATATATAACATTAAAGCACATCAGTAACTCGCCAGTAACTTATTTAATGCATGTTCCTTTAAGAAAACATTGTAAATAATTGGAAATCCAGCGACCGCAATCATCAAACCCTTGGGAACAACTGTGGTCGGAACCAAAGTTCACAGGTCTGTGTTCTCTGAACTCCTATCAAGCGGTGGACGTCTTCATTCTGATTGCTTTCGCCGCTTTCGGCTTGAACGTACGGTAAGACTGTGGGTGGTGCATGGTCATCACTTTTTGTGTAGTCTATTTTAAAGAGAACCGATCACATCAGTTGCGTTTCTAGGAATAGTTGCTTCACGCAAGGAAACGGGAGCGCGCACGCATTTTAAACAGTCATGTTCCCTTATAAAGCCGATGTATCAGCGCTATGGGCGTAGCACCAAATTCTGGCCCCTGTACCCTATCAATGTCAGTGGGCCCCCTACACATTTTTTTTTTTAATTATTTGAATATAAACATGCACAAATAGTGTTTTAATCTATAATCAAATCAGATTATAATAATGACTGGTTCTTTCATTCACCACCAAATTGATGCATTTGGCCTACTTGTGCTCAAATACCTTTAAACCGTAGGCTACATCGGGTTTGTGTACTGACATTTTGGGGGGGGGGATGGGGGGTTATCAATATATTTTGAAATAAATAATGACATTGACATCAATTGGAGGGGCCAATTAATTCGAGGTAGGTTACAAAAAAAATAATAATAATAAAAAATTGGTGGGATTTCAAAAGGGCCCTCTCTCTAGACAGGGCCCTGGGTAGTCAGGTCCACTTTTCCCCCCACTACCACGCCCAGGATCAGCGCTCTGCAACAATGAAAACATACGATTCGATTCACGCCTTCTGATTGGTTCTCGGGATATAGCGGCTTTTGCTGTCAAAGGCAAGTGGCGCTTAGCGGCTTTTGCCAACAAACTATTATTCTGAATGCGCTGATGCTGGTATTTGGATGACTACAAGCAAATCTATTTGTTGGTGTACTACGTGCCTAAAGCATTTACTCAATGCCATTATCTCATTTTTGGCAGAAGTTGCGTTTAGCGGCTTTTGCATGAACTTTTCATGTCTTTCGAATTTAATGTTAAGTTAAACTACAGTTTAAAGTTTTCGAGCCTCATCTAAAAGCATTTTAAGTATTAAATAGCACAAACCTTTTGGAAAATACACCTCAAAATTACCAAAAACACAGGTTTATATTTGTGATTAACAACGTTTGAGCCTATTTACATGACCTTTAAACTTAAACACACAGTTTAATGTTTCCAAGCATTATTAGAATCGATGAATTCCCCAAGACTTGCAGCAGAAGGCCACAAAGTTAAGCTCATGGCATGCAAAACAGCAATAAAAACTATTTCACAATGCCTTCCACCACAACACCCGACTGTTTGCATTGATCATTTCTGCGCAACACTAAAGGCATTGGGCAGCACAAGAAAAACACATCTTTACACACGGTGTGCCGTCTTTTGTGGAGCGGCGGGATTACAGGACACTTTCAGTAGGCCGCCATTATTATCATTTAAACAAAAGCGTGTTGAAAGGCCGTTGTGTAGAGCTTCATTAGCGCAGGCCTCCCTCTGTGGCGTTTAGCGCAGAAGAGCTGTCAATCATCCTTAAAGGGGGAAGGATTGCAGTCATTAAACCTCTTAAGTGTTTTTCTCCTGCCACCGGCCTCTGCGCGTCAGGACAGTTTTCATGGCTTCATCCTAAAGATCAAGACCTCCATATGCTGCGCCGCCAACGGGATGTTTCCGAGTGCGCCGGAATTTATGACCAGTTTTTTGGGCAACTTTTTTTTTATTTTTTATTTTTGCACGCAAAGGGCTATTTTAGTGATGAACTGAAAGTGGGTGAGAACGTTTGTGAGCATGCATGGACATTAAACAATAACTTTGAGGGAATCAGAAGAGACAGAAAGTTGGAGGAAACGGTGAGTGAAGTTTGGACTTTATGATATTTTCCTAATATTATTATCATTATTATTAATATATATTTCACAAATACATTTTAAATAGCATTTATTTAGCTTGGAAACAACAAAATTTAAGAAATGTTTACTAAAGTTTAGTTTTTTTGGTTATGGTTATTATTATTATTATTTTATTTTATTATCATTATGCATGCAAAGAGGTATTTTATTGTTGCACTGTAAGTTGGTGAGAACGTTTGTGAGCATGCATGAAAATTAAACAATAACTTTGAGGGAATCAGATGAAACAAAAAGTAGAAGGAAATGGTAAGTAAAGTTTTTTTTTGGTTATTATTATTATTATTATTAATAATATAGATTTTACTCATACATTTTAAATAACATTTATTTTACTAAGAAACAACAACAAAATTTAAGAAATGGTATGTCAAGTTTAGTTTTTTCGGTTATTATTATTTTATTTTATTATCATTATGCATGCAAAGGGGTATTTTAGAGTTGCATTGAAAGTTGGTGAGAACGTTTATGAGCATGCATGAAAATTAAACAATAACTTTGAGGGAATCAGATGAGAAAAAAAGTAGGAGGAAATGGTGAGTAAAGTTAGTTTTTCTTCTGTTCTGTTTTTATTATTATTATTATTATTGTTGTTATTAATATTATTATTATTATTATTGTTATTACAGATTTTTATAAATGTATTTTAAATATTTTTTTTACTTGAAAATAACAACAAAATTTAAGAATTTGAGTAAAATGTACTTTTTTCAGTTATTAATATTACTAATATTATTACTTTTATTCATATAGATTTTACAAATATATTTTAAATAACATTTATTTTACTAGGAAACAACAACAAAATTTAAGAAATGTTATGTCAAGTTTAGTTTTTTCGGTTATTATTATTATTATTATTATTATTATTTAATTTTATTATCATTATGCATGCAAAGGGGTATTTTAGCGTTGCATTGAAAGTTGGTGAGAACGTTTATGAGCATGCATGAAAATTAAACAATAACTTTGAGGGAATCAGATGAGAAAAAAAGGAGGAAATGGTGAGTAAAGTTAGTTTTTTTCTGTTCTGTTATTGTTGTCATTACATATTTTATAAATGCATTTTAAATAGCATTTATTTTACTTGAAAACAACAACAAAATTTAAAAATTGAGTAAAATTTACTTTTTTATTTAATAATATTACTATTATTATTACTTTTATTCATATACATTTTACAAATATATTTTAAATAACATTTATTTTACATGGGAACAACAACAGAATTTAAGAAATGTTGAATAAAGTTTTTTGGGGTTGTTATTATTATTATTATTATTCATGCAAAGGGGTATTTTAGCATTGCATTGATAGTTGGTGAGAACGTTTGTAAGCATGCATGGAAAAAAACAAAAAGTAGGAAAAAGAGGAAATGGTGAGTAAAGTTTGGCTTTTTTCTGTTATTTAGATTATTATTATTATTATTAATCATGCATATTTTTATTTACTCCTGTTTGTATATATTTATAACATGTTATATACAGTATTAATTCAGGTAGATTGAACACAATTATCTACTTGTAGAAAGTCTAATATTACATGAAATACTGAATAAAAATACTAGATTTTACAAATATGTTTTAAAAAGCATTACTCTTGCTTAGAAACAACGATAAAATTTAAGAAATGCTGAGTAAAGTTTAGTTTTTTCTGTTATTATTATTATTATTATTAATAATAATCATAATAATAATTATAATTAATAATATTTTTATTTTATTTTTATTTATTTCTGTTTGTATATTTATAACATGTTACATACAGTATTGATTCAGGTTGATCGCACACATTTAAATTATCTACTGGTTGAAAGTCCAATATTGCTTAAAATAATGAGTAAAAATACTGGATTTTACAAATATGTTTTAAATAGTATTTATTTTGACTTAATAATATTTATATTGACTAAACATTAATAATATTTATTTTTGATTAATTTTATGTAAAGTGAAGCTTAGTTTTTTTCTGTTATTATTATAATAATAATTATTTTTTATTACTAATCGTGTATATTTTATTTACATCTATTTGTATATTTGTTACATGTTACATACAGTATTGATTCTGGTCGATTGAACGTAATGAAATGTTTACATTAAATCTGGTTGAAACAACAACAACAACAAAAAAGGAAAAGTTGAGAGGTTTTGTTTTTTCAGTTATTATCATTATTAATAGGCAAAATCATGCATATTTTTATTTATTTCTGTCTGTGTGTTTCCGTTTGACTGCATGAAATTAAATTATCCACTATTTTCTAATATTACTTAAAATAATGAGTAAAAATACTGCAAATTACAAATATGGTTTCAATAACTTTTTTGCTTGGAAATAACATCAAAACCTAGGAAAAAAGTTGAATAAAGTTTAGTTTTTCCATTATTATTATTAATACCAATAAGTAAAATCATCAATATTTCTTTATTTACTAATGTGTGTGTTTTTATAGCAACTGTAACATTTTACATATACAGTACTAATTCAGGATGATTGCACAAAATTAAATTCTGGTTGAAAATACTGTTTAAAAGTCTAATATTACATAAAAGAATGAGTAAAAATACTTGACTTAACAAATATGGTTTAATTACATTCTTTTAATTGGAAACAACAACATTAAGAAAAAGGTGAGTGAAGTGTAGTTTCATTTCTGATTTAATCCTTTCTGTGTTCAAATTAAATATAAATATTATTGTGAATACATAACTATGTAAAATGTGTTTAAAATTAATATTAGGCAAGATATGCAAAGTATTCACTTCTGTTTATATAACACTTTGTAAAATGGTATATACAGTACTGCAGGTTAACTGAATGAAAATGAATTTTCTACAGGGTTGAATGTCTAATATTACTTAAATTTAGTTGTTGTTTCCAAGCAAAATAAATGGCATTTCAAATGTTTTTGTATTCAAATGTTTTTCATTTTAGGTAAAACATGAGTGAAGTGTCATTTAATTTTATATTTATTGCTTTCTGTGTTCAAATAACTATGGCTAATTATTGTGAATACTGACTACACTGGAAGCAATTCTTGCTGCCTTAAATGTTTTAGTTGAATCAAATGAACTTTTCTACTCATCTCAAAATACAGCAATCAAACTGACTTAACATTAAGATAAATGTTGTCCTTAACTACTATGTACTTACATTAAAAAATAAATACAATGTACTTACTGTGTTTATAATGTATTTGAGAACACTTGTGGTGCTTTTGAGTTGGGATAGAGGTTGGGTTATGAACAGGTTTGGTGGTATGGGTAGGTTTGAGGGTTGGTTAAGGTGTAAGGGATGGTCAACAGTGTATTTACAAATGTAATTACAAAAGTTAATTACAGATGTAATTACATACATGTATTTAATCAAGCATAAGTACACAGTAAATGCATGTATTTACACAATAAGTACATTGTAACAAACTATTAACTCCTGTGTAAGTACATATTAGTTAAAGCCACTTAATATAAAGTGGGACCACATTAAATGTTTTATAGAGTTTATAACTTTGTACAGGGTTCAAATACATTTTTGCTATGTAGCCAGGGGGGGTTTGGGTGTTTCGAAAGAATTACCATTACCCCCCATACCCCCCCCTCCCCAAATAACTCGTTGAAGGTTTTAAGAAAATGCACAATATGACATAAGTGAAGTCAACTTTCACTATTGACCGACTGTTGTTAAAAAAATCTAAAACATTTTACAAGTAGCCTAACCTTTATTTTAAATCTTGAACCTTATTCTTGAGAGACAAAATTGACCAACGAAAAGGTTCAAAGCACCAAAAGCAGTCTATTAAAGTTAATTTTAATACCAATTAGGCTGCTTATGAAAAACCAAAATCAAACAAAAGGTTTCAGTGGTAGCTTAAATAATGTGTTGGTGCCCTTTGTGTAAAGGATTCATCAGAATAAACATCAAAATCAGTCCAAGGCACTCAAAAAATCCTTTATTGACATGCCTTTATTGACATGGCTGTTACTTAAAACTGCGGCTACATCAGGTTACCCTGATAAAGTCCAGTGTTATAAACACGTGTAGGCGCAGTTTTAAGAAATAGTCATGTCAGTAAAGGCTTTTAAAAAAAAATTTCCACATTTTTCGAGTGCCTTAGACGGACTTTAGCTGTTTATACTAATTAGGCTGTTGTTATTAGATGCATTTTCAAGAGAGGCTAGGAGATATATATATATATTTGTTTATTTATTATAAATATTAATTAAATATTTTTGGTACATCAAAAATGGAGGATACAATAAGCTTATCCAGCTAAAATAGTGCTTAAAATGACACGTATTGAAGTATTTAAACAGCATAAGTAAATAGAAAATGAGGTGAATAACTGCAAAAAAAAGTCCACATTTTGAGAAAAAAGAACCCCCCCTTTCACCAGGCTGGCTACGGGCCTTTTTCCTAACTTTCAAGTTTCATGTATTGTCTCCATAAACATGGTAAATAACAAGAAAAACAATGACATTCAAATTTATTACAGCATATCAAGCATCAATCTATTTTGTTGAAATTTGTTTCAATATCTATGTAAAGTTGATCTTAATAATGTTTACACAGCACTAACAATGTGAGAGCTAGTTTTTGGCCAAGGACAGAATATAAGTAATGATAACTAACCTATATTCAAGTTAGGGCTGTACAATATGTGGTTTCAGCATCGATATCGCAATGTGTGCATCCGCAATTGTCACATCGCAGGATATGCAATGTTGGGATCACAGTTTAATATAGAGTTTAATCATAATGGAGTAAAAGCTTATAATCTGCATGCATTTTTAAAGAGACAGTTCACCCCAAAATTACTTATTTCCATTACACCCTTCACTTGTTTCGAACATTTAGGAGTTTCTTTTTTTAATGAACACAAAAAGGATATAATTGAATAACTCCTCTAGTATTGAAACAAGTGAAGTGGGAGTAAATAGTGAGTACAGTTTAATCTTTGAGTGAACTGTCCCTTTAAGGCCTGTGACTGTGTGAACACTTCCATATTTCAGAGTTTGAAACATCCGGCCACAAGTAAATTTTTGTAACTTTAATAAGATTAAATAATATACAATGAAGACTATGCAGGGCTGATTATTCAATATCTGTACCTGAATAGTGAATATCTGAAAACTATAATTCACTTTTATCTTTACTATATTTTATATATCTATGCTTGTAATTTATTTGTTATATATTATTTGAGATTCACTCCTCTGCAAAATTCCAATCAAAATAAACCTGTTAAATCACCTGTTGAAATGGTATTCACATCACAGAAATACAAAATATGGTAATGTCAGATTTATTTCAATATCGCGCAGCCCTAATTCAACTATACAGATATATGTAAAACTCATTTTCATGCCTTTTCCAAAACTTTGTGGGTTTTTCTGTTTTTCCAAAACTTTTCCAGGCCTTGAAAATGCCATGCCAAAACACCATGACTTTTCCAGGTTTTACCATGATCGTATGAACCCTGCTTATAGTTTATTTTTTAAGAAATCCAGTATTTAGTTCGAAGAGTTTTTTCAATGTTAGACTAACATATCACACTCCTGCGGTTGTGTTTACAATTACAAAAATTTAAATAAACACAATTCATTTTCCGTTTTTGTGCCTATGCAGATGTTCTTGAAACAAAGATAGAAATGTTTTTAGAAATCGGTTTTATAAACTTGATATTTTTAGTTTCTTAGTAACCACCGGTATCATTTCAGTGTCAAGGATATACTCTTATAGTTTATTAATATTTTAAATGGTCATTTTTATTTATTTGTTTATGTATTTTTAACTTAGTGTCTGTTATTTTAGGACATTATGGTTAACTAAATATTTTTTTGGCATGGAGCTGAACTAAAACATTTTATTATGTAATTTTCTTGTTCAGTGTTATACCTGTTACCTTTCATTTGATTTCGTGCTTGCAATATTCAGAGAAAGAGGACAAATATGAGGATGAGATCAAAGTTCTGACTGATAAACTGAAAAATCTGTTTTTCCAAAACTTTTCCAGGCCTGGAAAATGCCATGTCAAAATTCCATGACTTTTCCATGACCGTATGAACCTTGTTTTTAGTGTTATTATTATGATTAGGCAAAGAGATGCAAAGTATTTACTGCTGTTTGCATATTTATAACATTACACGAGTTGATTATGTTCTGGCTGAAAGTCTAATACTACTTCAGTAAAAAAGTAAACAATGAGTGAAACTTAGTAACATTTGGAAACGAAGAGTGATTGAGACGAGACCTAAAATGTAATGAAAATGTGAGTGAAGTTTAGATTTTCTTATTAAAGCAGGCTCCATTTAAGTAAGCAACTGTTTGTATTGTACATTTGCAGCCTTTTGGGTTCTTTTCGCACATATTACTTACTATTTTCTTTCTATTGAAGTAATAGCTGACTTATTACATTTTAAATAGGAAAAACCTTGACATATTTAATAATATTTATTTTGCCATCTGAGTAATTCAGGTGCTCCGGTTTCCCCCACAGTCCAAACACATGCGCTATTGGCGAATTGGATGAACTAAATTGGCTGTAGTATGAGTGTGTTTGTGTGTGTGTGTGTGTGTGTGTATGTGACAGTGTATGGGTGTTTCCCAGTACTGGGTTGTGGCTGGAAGAGCATCCGCTACGTAAAACATATGCTGGAATAGATGGCGGTTCATTGCACTGTGGTGACCTCTGATGAATAAGGGACTAAGCTGAAGCAAAATTAATGAATTATGACTAAACATAATCCATATTTCACTGCTATTAAAAATAGACATATCTTTTTAAACATGGTCTGGGGAAATTATGAATGGTAAAATATATTGCAGACATAAAGCCAGCAGTTTTGATAACAGTTTAAACTCAAAATCGACAAGACTGACTGGATGGTAGAAATAAGTCCAGACTTTATAAACACACAAGTATTATTAAGTAATCCACACTTGAGCACATACTTTTGACCTCTTCACCGTCTTATTAACCCTTTGCTCTCTCCCTGAACAGCCCTCTGAAAGGGAATCTCAGGCACAAACCAGAACCTGATTCTCTTCTGGATTTGCACCCTTTCATTGACCCTGTTTCCTGGAAGAGACTTACTGTAAGAGCAGATTGGATGCATCTGTCACCAGATACCATGAACATGGTGGACGATGGCTGCCTCTCCACAGAAAGCTACCACGACCTGGGCAAAGGTGGCGTTTCAGGCATCAGCAGCCGCGTCCACAGCATCGACGTCATTCTGGGCTTCAGTAAAGACCAGGATCCTCTGCTGGAGCCCATCGGGACGCATAAAGTGGACGAAGACCAGCTGGAAGAACAGGAGAAACAAGTGAATTCTGATCCATACAGTCACCTGCAGATCCCAGACCAGACCCAGCAGCAGCAATCGGTGTACCATGGTGAGAAACATGGCTTTATTGTGACATGTACATACATATATATACACACACAAACACATATATACACATATACATACAGTTAAATTCAAAATTATTCGCCGTCCTGTGAATTTGTGTGAAGTATTTCTCAAATGATGTTTAGCAGAATTTTTCACAGTATTTCCTATAAGATTTTTTTTTTTCTGGAGTAAATTTTATTTGTTTTATTACAGCCAGAATAAACACAGTTTTTAATTTTCATAGTGATGAAGCCAATTATGATATGGGGATGGTTTGGAGGCATGTTGAACTGAGGCCAGTGGGCAGATTTGGCCAGGATGCCGGGGTTCACTGAGCAGTATAGAGTCCCCTTCACTATACTGGGGCATTAGGACTCACAAAGACCACAGATTGGGCGCCCCCTGCTGGCCTCACTGACAACAATTCTAGCAACAACTTAGCTTTCCCATGTGGTCTCCAATCCAGGTTCTGACCGGGCGCAACCCTGATAACTTCAGTGGGCAACCATGTGAGAGTTGCAGAGAGCTGGAGGCCAACAAGAGAAAAGCCTATTTATGACTTTACAAAACAGAGCAGTAAATAAACCAGCAGACATCAGTGGCACTGCAGATGCCGTATGAAGTTACAAATACGATTAATCATTTGACTATTCTAGTAAAAATTGTAAAACTATTAAATAATATTACAATTTAAAACAACTGAAGATATAACTGAATGTAAGTATATGTGTATGTGTGTGTGTGTATATATATATATATAGGCAGCATGGTAGCGCAGTGGGTAGCACAATCGCCTCACAGCAAGAAGGTTGCTATATCGAGCCCCGGGTGGGTCGGTTGGCATTTCTGTGTGGTGTTGGCATGTTCTCCCCTTGTTCCTTGCTTATACACACACACACACACACACACACACACACACACACACACACACACACACACACACACACACACACACACAGATCTTTATTTATATGTATAAATGATAAATGTATACTGTACACACAAACTAATCTGGGTGCGACTAATTGTTTGACTACTCTACAAAAAAATTTTTAACAGTAAAATAATTTTACAAAATAAAATAACTAAAGTTATTATTGTATGCAATTTAAAATGTAATATATTCCTGTGATTTAAATCTAAATATGTTGTATTATAAAGTTTGTATTTTCATATGTTAATTTACAAATATACACAGTACATACATAAACATTATTTTGCACGCAATTAATCATTTGAATGTTAAATATGTGAAATATTATAATTTAAAATAACTGAAGTTATTACTGAATGTAGATTAAAGTGCAATTTACTCCTTTGACTTAAATCAGTACTTTGCATTTTTATATAGATATAAGCACAGATGCACACATAAGCATTACTTTGGATTAATCATTTAACTCGGTAAAAAACAGCTGAAATATTAGTACACTTTTTAACGAAAGTTATTTTTCAATGCAGTTTAAATCCCCATTTATTCCAGTGATTTCAACAGGAATATTTTTTATGATATAATTTCTATTTTATATTTGTTTCTTTATAAATCTACACTATACACACATGAACATTATTCTGGACGTGATTAACTGTTTGACAAAAAGCACAAATTGTAAAACTACAAAAGTATTATTACAATATAAATGTCGCTGGTTCCTCCTTGATTGGGTCAGTTGGCGTTTTTGTGTGGAGTTTGCATGTTCTCCTCTTGTTGGCGTGGGTTTCCTCCAGGTGCTCTGGTTTCCCCCACAAGTTCAAAGACATGTGGTACAGGTGAATTGTATAGGCTGAATTGGCTGCACTGTATGTGTGTGAATCTGATTGTATGGGTGTTTCCCAGTTATTAGCTTCACCTGGAAGGGCATTCGCTTCGTAAAACACATGCTGGATAAATTGCTGTGGCAACCGCAGATTAATAAAGGGATTAAGCCGAAAAGAAAATAAATGAATGAATGAATGCTTATCATTCAATGCTATTTAAAATGTAATTAATTCCTGTGATTTAAAGCTGAATATGTTTATTATTGTTACGTCCTTTTAGATGTTAATATTAAACTAGGAGTAGATGACAATAACATACATTAGTTTAATGTGTGTGACAAGCGGATGGAGAAAGAAATAAACTGAATCAAATAATCACTGCAATTATTTATTGCCCATATATCCAATGAAAACCAGTGAAAATATATACAGTGAAAGAAAAAATATTTACAATGATTAAATAATGAATTACCTGGGGGGAGAGGAAGTAGTTGAATGTGCTTAAATCAAAGAAATAAATATAACAAAACTCAGTAACTGTTTTCACCAAACTAAACTAAATATGAAAAGAAAAGCATGAAAAGAAACATCTTCAACGTACCAAACGTCTTAACTAAACTGCTCTAACTAAAAACAAAACATACAGAAAACAGCACATTCTCCTGAACCTAGTGAACTAATACAAAATATCACTCTGAGTGTTGTATATGTATATCGCGCGACTTACTCACTCCTACACCTCTCCGAGGCATCACTCAAACATGTCAGTTAACTGGACAATTTCACAAACATGGTTAAATCGCAAACTTTAGACAAGAGCATTAAACAAGCAAAACACATTCTCTCAGACTAGCCCTCGCAAGAGAGACTGTCCTCACAGAGACCCACAGAAAGAATAAGAGCGAGAAGTTGCGAGAAGGAAAGAGACAGAGAGAGAGAGAGATCGAGAGATCGCCATTGCAGTTTGGGCTCGGCTTTTAAACGCTACGCCAACCAGCGATTGGTGGCGCAAACCCAGCGTCAGCGGCCAACGTCATCAGCACGAAATGCGGATCCTCCAATGCCGTTCGTACCTGTAACACATGCATGAAACGACACACCCACATACAAACGAACGCACACACTTATCCAAAATACGTTCTGCGAGGTAACGTTACACTCACCCTCTTAAAACTAAACATAAAAGCAACATTAAGCTCTAGATAAAGTGTCAGCAATGACATTTTCAGATCCTTTCTTATGCTTTATGTTTAAGTTAAAATTTTGTACAATCAACGACCAACGCATAAGGCGTTGATTGTGATTGTACATTCTAGACAGAAACACTAGAGGATTGTGGTCAGTGTATACTGTAACAGGCAAAACTGATGAACCCACGTAAACCTCAAAGAACTGCAACGCCAAAATCAAAGCCAAAGCTTCCTTCTCAATGGTGGAATAATTACGTTGGTGTCTATTAAACTTACGTGAAAAGTAACAGATTGGGTGATCAAAGCCAACATCATCTTCTTGAACAAGCACAGCGCCAGCACCCAAAGAACTGGCATCAACTTCTATTTTAAATGGACGTGAGAAGTCAGGTGCGGCAAGAACAGGTGCACAAGTAAGCAACAACTTAATACTCTCAAAAGCCTGTTGGCATGCATCAGACCATACAAAATCAGCTTTTGGACTCAACAAGCTAGTCAAGGGACAAACAACAGTCGAGAAATTACGACAGAAACTCCTGTAATAACCAGCCATTCCTAAAAAGCGGCGCAACTCGCGTCTCGTTGTAGGAATAGGAAACTCAGCTATAGCTGTCACTTTGGCACTCACAGGACGAACTTGACCTTGACCTACTTCTTTGCCCAAATAGGTAATTGTTGCTTTCCCAAATTCACACTTGGCTAAATTAATAGTCAACGAAGCGTCAGATAACCGTTTAAAAACAGTACGAAGTGCAGACAAATGCTCATCCCAGTCACAGGAATAAATTACTAAATCATCGAGGTATGCATGACAATTTGGAACTCCAGACAATACGATGTTTACGAGGCGCTGGAAAGTTGCGGGAGCGTTTCGTAACCCGAAAGCCATTACTTTGTATTGTAGGAAGTTATCCGGTGTAACGAAAGCTGAAATTTGCGCAGCTCGCGGAGATAATGGTATTTGCCAAAATCCTTTGAGTAGATCTAACTTCGTGACAAATTTCGCCGAACCCAAATTGTCAATACAGTCTTCCATTCTGGGCAATGGATAACTATCTGGCACTGTTACGGAATTTACCTTACGATAATCCGTGCAAAAACGGAATGTACCGTCAGCTTTTGGCACAAGCAGACACGGAGAGCTCCAGGGACTATGACTATACTCTGCTAGATTATTTTTTAACAGATAATCAACTTCGTCTTTCATCACAGAACGTTTTACATTATTTATTCTGTAAGCATGTTGCTTAATAGGATGATCGCATGTCACTTGAATATCATGCTGTAGCACGTTAGTTTGAGTCGGCACATCACTAAACAGCATCGGATATTCTCGCAACAGTTTGATCAAATCACGTCTCTGTGTTTCTGACAAAGTATTAAAATAATCTGGCAAATTATCAAGGATCTCCGAATTCAAAAGTCTACCACACATAGTCAAGTCATTACGAAACGTAAAGTCATCATCATCATTGTGACACTCACCCAAAGAAGGCAGCTCACTCACATCAGCAGAGTCACACACAGCAGTGACAGCAGCAACTAAGGGATCAGAGGAAACAGCAGCAAGTTGTTCCTTTTCGAGATTACCAGACACTTTCCTAGGGTAATACAACTTGAGCATGTTAATGTGACAGGTGCGAAATTTTCTTTTTCGATCAGGTGTATTTATCACAAAGTCAGTTTCACTCAGTTTTTTCGACACCTTATAGGGGCCAGAAAAACGAGCGGACAACGCTGAACCGGGTACCGGTAGCAGTACTAAAACATCATCACCAGGTTTAATGTCACGGACAACAGCTTTTCTGTCATACCATCCTTTCATGTCCTCCTGAGCTACGGACAGTGACTCACGTGCAAGAGTGCAAACATTGTGCAAACGTTCTCTAAAACGGCTAACAAAATCCAAAATATTTACTCCTTTTGATTTTTCATTTAACATCCCATCTTTCAGCACTTTAAGAGGCCCGCGAAAGACGTGGCCGAATGTTAAATCTGCCGGAGAAAACCCCAATGACTCCTGAGTAGATTCACGAATTGCAAACAACATTAA